TAATACTTTTCCTAAGGTGCTAAAAATTGCGTCAGTTGTTCCGATCCTGAAAAGGGGGAACCAAACTGATATGAACAATTATCGTCAAATTTCAATTATATCCATATTCGCCAAAATTTTTGTAAAAATTACTAGCCGACCAAATAAATTTTTTTGAAGATAACAACTTATTTTCCGAAAAACAATTTGGATTTAAGAAAGGTCACTCGACGATCGACCTTGCTCTTATTAATTCCATTCATAACAGTCTTGACCTTAAAGAATATCACATCACGACATTCCTAGACCTACAGAAAGCCTTCGACTGCGTCTCCCATGCTATCTTACTAAATAAATTACAATTTTGACGTCGACAGCAGAGATTTAGTTAAATCTTATTTATCAGAACGACTCCAGTATGTAACCATTAATAACACCAAATCAGAGTCAACGACAATGCTACACGGGGTGCCCCAAGGGTCAGTACTAGGTCCTGTTCTCTTTTTAATCTATATCAACGACCTCGCTTGTTTCATGAGCTCACACTGCAATATTATGTTGTTCGCTGACGTGACGACACTTCTCTGTCAGTTAGCTGTAGATCTTTTGAAAAGGCAACTTCTCTTAGTAGGGAGGTACAAACAAAGGCCACAGAATGGTTCAATGCAAATCAATTATCTCTAAATAAGAACAAGTCTCATCGTTCTCACCACTTGTACTAAAATATTTAAGTGAAGCTTATCTCTTAAGTGCTAAGTTGAACTTATATTTAAGCCTCAGTTTTCTTCGACTTAAAGTTGAACTTAACCTAAAAACAGCGCTCTGTCAGGTTAAAAAAAGATTATACCTCTCTATTTGGTGCTTTCAAAATATTAAAAGGATACTTTAGATAAAATTATTATGGATTTTGAAGATATTGATCCTGTGGAAGATGATTTACCTAGATGTACTAGAAATATTAGAAGTTGGATTTCCTAGAGCTGTATACGAGAGACAATATTACATGGACACCATGAGCGATTTTGACTTTTTTAAACGATTTCGTTTAAAAAAAGGAACCGTAAATAACCTTTTAATGCTAATTGAACAAGATTTAGAATACCCATATGATATGTGAGTACTTGTAGGTTGACAACAATAAATAATACTAATGTTAACATTTTTTAGGAACAATGCGGTGGCACCGATAAATCAATTATTAATAGCGCTTAGATTTTACGCAACTGGGCAACATTTGTTAAGTGTTGGTGATTTTGTTGGAATGCAAGTATCAACAGTGTCGAGAATAATAAAAAAAGTTTCGCAAGCAATTGCTACCTTGTTGCCCAGATTTATAAAATTTCCTGTAACGCAAGAAGCACAACGTCGGGTACAGCAGGTGAGGAGTTTTATAATATTAGTGCCTTTCCCAAAGTAATAGGTGCTGTGGATGGAACACATATTAAAATACAATCACCTGGTAATATAATAGAATCTATATATGGTATTTATTACATGTCTTGTAGGAGGAAACGACGCAGAAGTTTTTCGGAATCGAAAAATGTACTTTTCAATTAATGTGCAAGCAGTTTCTGATGCACGTTACAAATTTTTGCAAATGATGATTTTGTACAACTGTTTTAGGCCGAAAACAGTTGTACAAAGACAGTGATTATAGTCGTTTTTTTTGGTAACTCATCTCTTAAGTTGGCAGTTACTAGTTAGTACAAGTCTGGTACAAGTAGGTACTTCCCAGAGACATGGAGAGAGCATTGTCTCTGGTACTTCTATGCTTGAACTTCAAAATGTCAGTCTTACTACGCTGCCAACCTAAAACTTAAAGGCATAAAAAGTGTTCTCAACATAAAACATGTTAGTTCTAATGTTCCCTATAGTTTCTGATAATGATTTTTTTAATTAAATTAAAGCACCGAAATAGAAAAAATAGTATTGTTACAATGCTTTATTGTAATACTCCTATCTTGCGGACACGTATTACAATAGGTCGCATTGTAACACTTGTCTTTCAATATATTATTGTAATTGTATACTACGTTAAATAAAAGGTCCTTTTCATTTGCTGTGAAGTTCGACGATCTTTTCCGTTTCTTTTCATTTTCAAGCACCATACTAAAGTTTTCACGTTTGCCTTTTGCGATTTATTAAGAAAAACAAATATAAGTGTAGAAAACGGAACTCCAATTTTATAGGCATAAAAAAAACACGGATAGAAACGAATCGGTAATAAAATAAAAGTACCACGTTTTTAAGCGCCGCTCGTGTTTGGACCGCAAAGTTTTTAAATAGTGATCTGTAATACCTTGTTGCCACAATTTTTACAGTGATCTGCATTACCTACAGTACATTGTTTGGAATATATTTGATACTCTATGGTTTTATGGCGCGTTTTTTTAAATTAAGCCAAGGTACTTGAGGATCACCGTTTACAAAGCAAATGAGATTAATATATATGTTTTCAGTTTAAACAGCTTAAGTAAAAAAATATGCCATAAAAAAGGAAGGAATATCCAATTTGATACAAGGAGCGTGTAAAAAATTTTTATCTAAAAATATTATAGCAAATTAAATACATACATTGATACAAATTAGGGTATATTTTTTTGTAATTTTAATAATTGCTTTATTGCAAGTACCTACTCCTAATAAATACAAGTATCTCACATAATTAGGTAACTGTGTTCCTTTTTTTTTTCATTAAATATTTTTTATGTGCTGCAACTTTAACTGGTTCAATCAAATGTGCGGGAGGTTTCTTTGCTAAAAAACTAACAAACTTGGCATCTTTACCCTTAGCAACTTTGTTAAGACTCCTAAACCGCCAATATAAACAACATCGCACAATTAATGATACAAAGGCATCTCCTACATTATGTTCACTACAATTAAAAGGTGAAAAACTAAAATTTTTTCTAAGTAAAAATGACAACACAGAAGATATATCTTTGACATACGCTATTCTTGGTATCCAATAAAATAAACTATTTAAACAATTACTAACCATAACATTTAAATAACTACCAGGAATAACTAATTTGCAATTTTGGTACTTCCTTGCCAAAATTATGTCATGATCAAAATTAGTGTCTGATATTTGTAAATTCCTTTGACATGTGTCACAGACCTTAAATTTTTTAATTAACAATCGGCCTACATAACCACTAATGTATGTAATTATTGATCTGTGTAGTTTGGTTTTTGTATGAAGGGATATGTGTTCTGGTACCTCAATTTTTTGATTATACAAATTTGGTGTATGTACCAGTGACTGGCTAGGAATACCAGTAATAAATGATTTGAGATTGTCTAACCCTCCGGAGTTTAAGTCTTCCTCACAGTTAGAGGAAGGTGAATGAGTAGCCAGAAAATTGTTGACTATCAATGATTTCATTGATGCCACAAAATGAGACGCATTTGGATTAATATTTCGGTAATTATGACTTCTAATATAACCAAACAAATTTTCAATAGGGTCTTGATTAAAGGCCCTAGTTGCCACAAATGCAAATTTCTTATTTTCTAATAATATTTTACATATATACATAAAAGCTCTTATAGCATGTGCTAAATTTTTTAAAGATGGATTATATACAAATTTCTGTCTCTTGTTACAAAAAAACTGCATCGATTCCACCACTTTAACTGCATTGGACCAAAATGCTGAATGGGGAGAGTTTATTGTGACACAGCTTCGATAAACTTTACCGGGATGTTGACGCAGAGCTTGATTGTTTAAGCTATCAAATAGCTGGTCTAAAAAGAGGATCAAATCCGCCTTATCCCTTACTTCAGACCCCAAATTGAACTCATCATTGGTGTCTGAAAAAGTTTAGATAGCTCAGTGTATAATGTACTAGTTAAAATGTTGTCTACAGACATGCATATCTATTATTTTCAGACAACTATTGCTACCCTGTATTACATGTAAAATATAATAATTTATTCATAATTACCCCATTTTGAAAGCCTCATCATTAGAGATCCTACTGTATAACTAAATACTTGTGTGCAATAGGAAACTTTCATTTTTTTAATTTTCTCTGGAACCACATGCTCATCTGTTAACTTGGAACATAATCTTAATGTTGGTTCGGAACTGTCCAAATTATGAAATTTCACGATGTGTTTCCAGCTTGCGATCCCTTTTTTGTTATTCATAACAAAGTGAAGATCTTTATTTAATAAGTTATTACGTATTCCTTTCAGTAAGTGAGGGACATCATAAAAAGGAACGATTTCTTGATTATTAACAAGAAATCCAAACAATCGATTTTCTTGTCCCTCCCTTAGGAAGTGCTCCCTGGTGTCCTTAATAAGGGAATTTATAGCTGCTTGATTTGATGCCCCTTGATCGCATACTGTTGCCACAACGTCTAGGCCTATTTCTAAGCAGTTCTTGATTACCTAAAGACCTATATATTAGTAACCTAAATAAGTAGCATAAAAATGACTAACCTCTGTAAGTTGATATTTAAGGTTTTCACTGGTCACAGGCCCAGACGAAAACGTAAAAGAAACTGGTTGTCGCCACTGGCGATGCAGTCCACGTAGCATAAAAAGATTGACATGATCTGCTAATTTAGAAGATCTCTTATGACCAAAATCTTCAATTCCCACAATAATATCATTGTGACGATTATAATATACATTTACATCAATCGACATTTCGTCAAACATCAAAATACAGATTTTGTCGTCTTTCTTCATACCTCTAATATTCTCCTGTAGAGACTTAAAAATAATTTCGTTAATTCCTGGTTGTAAAGGAATTTTTTGCAACAACTTGCTCAATGTCCTTGGATGAGGAAGTGCGAAAATTTTTGACAATAGTCTATATCCTGTAAAAACGTAACTAAAAATTTCGGCAGAATACCTAATAAAACTCTTACCCTTTCCACTGGCTTTGTACAGTGATAATGCCAAAATTTTGTCTTCAAGTGTATACCTTCTACACTTCAGAGCACGTTCTTGGTTCCGAATTTGTGACAAAATAAATTGGTGTGTGTAATTGTTTACTTGGCTCATTATCTTCTGAAATCCTTCAGAATTGCATAATTGTGCTTTTGTAAACGAATTTTATAGGAGGTTATTTTCCTAGCCATCCTTGCCATCTTCACACTCCAGGTGGTCAACTTTTTGTAGAGCAGGTTGGCCCTTGGGTCAAGTTGAGAGGATCGAGTCACTCCGACATCTTTCAATAAAGATAATCTTCGTTTCTTTATCACTAAAGCGCAGTAATGTAAATATATTTAAACGATTCAATTGTTTACATACCTCTCACAGAATTCACTTCCATTGGCTGTGTCCTTTTGTTCAAAGTATCTTCTGGGGCTTCCTGGTTGAATTGTTCCGATGAACCTGATATTTCTGCATTAAACAAATTAATTGCCTAAGTAGGTAATTCGTGAAACATTGAAATGTTGCGCATACCTATCCCATATTCTGCTTCCATTTCCTGCTTACTCTTATGAGATTCATCTTCTGGGACTTGTAGATTAAATTGTTCAACATTTAACTGGCTGCAACTCAATATTTCATCTGCTTGTTTGGATGAACAGGGTATTTCTACATACAAATTACATTTAATTATGTAGGCAAATTGTTAAAATGTGATTTACCTTCTAAATATAAAGTGGGAATGGCTGTATACTTTAGTCCTCTTCGAGATCCGGCAATGATGTTGTGGGCTTCAAAATGTCTTTCACACACTCTAAATGTATTATATATATATATCTCGAAATCGGTATAATTAATGTAATTCCGCGGTCTAAGTATCATAAGCCACCTTTTGAAAAGTTCAGAATAATGTTTGGGGTTAGGAAAACGATGTCTTGGTAAAAATTGATCTTTACAATTATGTACACAACACTTTCTTTTAGGTGATACCGAAAAATCCATTTTGTGGTCGTTATTTGATAAACGAAGAATTATTATCACAAATCACACACGTGATTTGTGATTATTGTGATTATTATGTTAATAAACTCAAACAAAGCATAACTACAGTTATTTAATCCAAATATAAGTTGTAAAGCACTATAAAAAATACACGGATTGTACGCACGTTGCCGAAACACATAACCTAAAAATTTCGTTACACACTCCAGAGCAATTTTAATTCTATACAGAGAGACCTGTTTAAATGGATATGATACGTGCTAAATAGTTACCGGTCCAAACACAAGTGGTGCTACAAAACGTGACGATTTTCCATATATATAAGAGTATATTATGCGATTTTCACGAATGTGCGATTTCGTTCTCTTATTCCGTGTTTTTTTTTATTGTTTATAGGTTAATGTCATACATTTACAACGTTGCCACGTAACACACAAGACTAAAGCCCGCTTGACATGGAGCAATAAAAATTGCAATTGCATGCAAGTTGCAAGAAAAATTGCGAAAGGCATGCGCAGTTCAAAGCCAGCTGATCAATTGCTGCAAGAGACTTGCATGCAATTTTTATAGGACCGGTGCTATGTTTCTTGCATGAATCGTGCAATTCTAGGGATAAATCTAGTTGTTTTTGTGGCACCAACCTAGTAAAATACAGCGGCGGCAACTGTGATGCTGAGAGACGCACTCATTACTTGTTTTTACTAATCTTATTTATTCTTGTAATTTTCATGTTTCTTCAAGCAATCAAATTTAATTTTCATTTGAGGTTAACAACTTTGTTGACAAATCCATATGTTTCTTCTGTTGGCAGACATGTGGCAATTGAAATAGAATTGCACCATGTCAAATACCGTATGATCGAAGCAAATACCATGCAATGCTTATTGCATGCAAGGATTTGACCTTGCAATTTCTTTCTGCAAGTTCTTGCGCGTAGTATTGCTCCATGTCAAGCGGCCTTAAGTAGAACCACAACAGAGTAGAACCATTGAATAAAAACACTATAAGTAAGAAGCCTAACGCTTATGGAAGAAAGCGCGACAAATCCCCTTGCACCCGCATTGGTTGTGATCTCCGAACTCTCTTTGCGGTAAATAGGAGGAAAGCAAATTCTCATTCTTCTCAGTTCAAGAATCGACACTATTGACAGTGTTTCCATTATATTCTCAGTTCAATCTCTGTCGCGCTATATTTCCACGGGGTTAGGCTTCTTATAGTGTTTTTATTCAATGGTAGAACTTAAAAATTAAGTGTAAGTCGAACTTAGACTTGAGCGTTGCTTAGTTAAGATTAGCTTTATACTCAACCTGTGCAACCGGCCCATGTTACATTTTCACTGTGCAAGTTTGACGTATCCCTCACGTCACCGAAAGTTAAGTTTCTGGGCGTACTATAAACTAGCATGGCATAATCATGGGATGAAATTTCTAAAAAAATTAATTCTGGTATTTACCTGTTACGTGCGGCCTCGGGTAGTCTATCTACAATAATTCTTAAAACAATATACTTCTCTTTAATTCAGCCTCATATTTCCTATGGATTATTGGTATGGGGACATTCCAGTATAGCCAATCGTATTTTCGGGCTACAAAGGAGAGCCATTAGGATCATTAATAACCTTAAATATAGATAGCAATGCAAAGACGCTTTTGCATCGCTCCGTATATTAACATATCCTTGCTTGTATACATATACTGGAGTGCCTTCTGTACATAAAAGCAAACATTGAAAATTTTGAGGTACACTCTACGTGCCACAACTATCAGACCCGTAATAGGGATAACGTAAGTCTACACCTTTTGTGAGACTGGACAGGACTACATTTTCGTGTAACTATTGTTGCATACATTTATACAACGTCCTACCTTCTCAAATAATTTAAAGTAAGCCTTAAACAGTACTTGACTGCAAAAGCTTTTTACAGCATCAAGGAGTTTTTAACAAATGATTTTTCTGACTTCGGTGACACTGTTCTCTGTGATTAAGCTGTGATATATAGTAATTGTAACCTGTGATATTGTTCGTCTCACATATTTTTTCTGTAATTGTTTTCGGTTGACGAGTGTTAAAAACTTTGAATGTTTTATTTACACAATATACGTTATTATTATTATTATTATTAAAAACATAATTCAGGCTGGCCAATAGAAAGTCAGCAAAACGACGCAATACATTCCGCGCCGTAATTATTAATTATTCCGTTTTGACAGTTGACGCTTTACGTTATTTTAGTTTACACTTTGCTTCTTGTATTTGCTTTATTTTACGTTTTCCGTCTCCAGTTTTATACAAACTCGTCTTTTTCAAGACGCATATAGCTTGGATCTACGATCTGATAAGGTATGTAATTCCCTAAAGTGTTTTTTAAATTTTGCATCAGAATGTAAGGTCTAATTTTCTAGCGCCCTCGGACACGCCCTGTCAGGGACTTTCTGAGCGTGGTGCCACTTGTATTTGCCGTCCCTAGGCAGCGAAATTTTCGACTAAAAAAACATCTGGCAACACTGGCTGATGACAACCCGTCAATCACGTGCTCTGGTTAATGTCAAAAAACGTCTATTGAAAATTAAAAACAGTTTTGTCAAGTATGGAGGAGAACTCAAAATTACCGAAAAGCGTTTTAAACATTCCGGGCACTAAACCAAATGTTCAAAACGGACAGCTTCTGTTGTCCTCTGGAATCCCTTCTTTAGATGAACTCACAGGTGAATTTTGTTCTAGTGTCAACAACTTTTAAAAATATTTTTGTTTTAGGTGGTGGGTTTCCTGTAGGAAGCGTTGTATTCATTGGTAAATTATTATATAAGGTACTATGCGATCAAAAATGAGTTGCTGTCGAGTTGCATTTGAAATTTTTGTTTACATGGAAAATCGTATTTCACTTGAACTTCCAAAGGCGACTCGACAGCAACTCATTTTTGATCGTCCGTTATAAGCATATAAGTTGCTGGTGAAGTAATACCCTGTGGATACTTTTCCGGTACCATTTACAAGATTTGTTTCATAACAGTCGTTGACAATTTAATTATATTTCAAACTCTTAAATCTGTAGACAATACTCACTGTTACAAAGAAAATATGTTGGAAAATCTGCTAGAAAATTCAGTACATGTCTTATATTGGGATTTCATTCTGTTGAGGTTAGAAAATTTTTGTGAAAGTGTACACACACAGGAGGACTATTTATTTATACAGTAGGTACATGGACTGCTATTAGCCTTATGCTTTCCACACAAAATGGGTAGTCATGGATAGGGGGCTCTCTAGTCGTGGGTATGTCAATCTCAGGGTAAACTAAAGTATGAACACCACTGATGGTGTAACGAGCAGCTTCTATGACAACTGCGTAGTACGTGAAGCATTAAATACTCTTCATTATCGTTTACACGTCCACAGATAAAAATAGGTTTGCCTTTTTGCCATAGGTATCTAGGCGATTAATGAATTGACGCTTGTTAATTTAAAAGTTGAAAGCGAGGTTGAAAGTCTCAAATCGTGTCTCATCGAACAATTTCGAACATCATTTCATCGACTCATTTTACCCCGAAACTCACATACCCAGGTGATATTCTTGACCATATATGAGTTACAATTATCAGTTCATGTACTGTATGGTCTAAGGTACACACAACACATAATTGTGAAATTGTGGTCCCCAGAATAATATGAGATCATGCACTGAATTATCTTGCTTTAGTATATAAATTCAGCATGTATTCATTGGCAACCGATTGTTGGGTGTAAAAACACCACGTATTTTTTATTGCCATTGTTGATTGTCTTTTTTGTTTTCGAATTTGTTTTTTCCATGTCATTACGTTTATAGGAGAAGAATAAAGATTATTATTATTATTTCTAGAGGAAGATAAACAGTGCACATATGCGAAAATACTTTTGAAGTACTTCATAGCAGAAGGTGTGGTGTGTGGTCATTCTACCTTTATCGCTAGTCAAGATATGTCGACAAATAGTATAGTAAGTTAGCATTATTTGGTTTAATTTATCAGTTATGATAACAGATGCAAGAATTACCTGATGTGCTATCATTTGATCCCGAACCTGATTTGAACAAGAGTTCGAATGACATGGAAATGAAAATAGCATTTAGGTATCAGAAACTTCCTACATCGGATAAGCCCAAAGAATTAGACATTGGTCATTTTTATGACCTAACAAGAGTTATGCCCCGGAGTACAATTGAACGCTCTGATATTACAAACTGGTCGAAACAAAGTAGCACAAACGGTAAAGGTGTATGAGCTATGTGATCTTTTAATCTTAGGTTTTAGTTCCCAACACATTTTCAAATCCTGATTATCATTACTTACTTGAAGATATAAAAAACAAAATACAATCAGGACATTTTAATGTAACTGATAAGGTACAACAGCGATCAATTCTACGAGTTGGATTACATGCATTAGGATCTCCAATGTGGTTCGATCGTTCTTTTACGGGACTGACAATTAATCAACACAGAGATTTGAATATGTTTATGTTCTGTTTAAGAGCTCTTATGAGATCAGCTTTTGCCATAGCGATTGTTACAGTTCCTTCTCATTTAATATCAAAGGTTTTGTTAGTTGTGGAGCATTTGAAGTTTTTATATTTTGTTCTTTTAGCATATTATAGATCGATGCATTTATTCCAGCGATATCGCAATTAAGCTGCAATCATTTGCAGGAACAGAACTTGAGAATAACTCTGTTCTTGCAGACTACCATGGCTACTTTCAATTAACTAAATTGGCTGCCATTAATTCCTTCGCATCTAAACATCCAGGAAGTGTCGAATATGTTTATAAATTAAGAAGAAAGAAATTCTCTATAGAGAAGCTTCATTTACCACCAGGTACGCAAAGTTGTATGAACATGCTTTGTTCATCATCAGTGGTGTCGTGTTTGATTTGCGCAAATTTGACAGTAGCGGAACGCACTTTTTTTATAATAATAAAATGTTGGCTTTGCTTTTGTTACAAGCGAAGCTACAAGGTATGTTTGCTACTTGTACAAAGGGATATTATACATGGTGTTTTTTTAAAGATGGGCCATAGGGAAATTTACAATGCATCACATCAATTGATTCAAGTCATGACTTCCTCGCGAATCATCTGCCACAGTATTGTAAAAATTGTTTTTAAACAGCCGAAATTCATGAATGTCGCTATGATTCGTAGAATTGTTGTGCTTTTACTGGGAACAGGTCGTCCACTGCTTCCTTGATCCAGTTTGCGGGATTGAGATCGAGAACTGTCAGTGAAATAACTAATCACAGGCAACAGATTTGCGAACAATTGGCCCATTTTAAATAACTCGACGCCTTTACATTGACCTATGGCCTATCTTTAAAAAAACAACCTTTGTGTCTATAGGTTTAATCAAAATCTAAACTATAAAATTGAAAATTCTTGTTCAAACAAATTTGGCTATGAGAAACTAGCCTAGTCTACTGTTCATTGGTTTTGCATTGCACAAAAACTTATTTTGCCCTTTGTGTTCTTGTGTCGTCTGCAGTGTAGTGACTCCTTAACCAAGTATGCACATAGTGCTCCAAATTCTACTCCTTTATGTTTGGTCTATTGAACACATTTAAGGCTTAAGACATGTCTCTTCTTAAATTAGTTGTGATCAGAGAATGACAAGTGCGGCAGGAGAAAAATGTTGTTTGTTTTGTTGGTGCAAAAAAAGGAACCTGTATTTGTATTTTTTTCTGTAAACCAGTGCCATTCCAGTGCGTTCACGCTCCATGACACCCCTGCATAACATATAAGAGCACCATAGAATTTACCATGGAAACCATCATGGCACAATAATTGTAACCGAGGGGTGCGACACCTCGAAAAATTTGTACACTTACTTTCAAGTACAAAAATAATTTGTGTAATATGAAAATTACATAAATACCTACTTTTTCATAATTTTTAAATACTTTAGTAATTATTGATAATTGTATTTTTTTGGTAATTTAATGTACTTGAAATACAGGGTGGGGCAGAGGAATTTGCTGATTTGTATTCGGCGCCCTTAGGCGACGGTTGCTGCGACGAAAGTGGTAATAGGTATATTTGAGAGAAGGGCATATAAAGTTTTTCCGCCGCGTGGTGTAGTCATCATCATGGAGTGGACGAAGGCGGAACGCGCGTTCGCCGTCGAGGCATACTTTTCTAACGGTCGCTCAGTCACAGCCACGCAACGTGCATTCCGTACTCATTTTTTTTTTCTTCACATCACCAGTTTCCCTAAAATTGTTTACCCATGAAACAATCGATTGCCGGCCAGAAACACGTCCACGTGGCGCGATATTAAAGTCTACCCCATGATGATGACTACACCACTCGGCAGAAAAACTTTATATGCCCTTCTCTCAAATATACCTATTACCACTTTCGTCTGAGCAACCGTCGCCTAAGGGCGCCGAATACAAATCAGCAAGTTCCTCTGCCCCACCCTGTACTTGATTTAAAATACTTATTTTTTATGTAACATGTTATACCCCTAACTTTAACGATTTCACTGTTATAACCTTTTTCGTCAAAATTTGATAGTTTTTCGAAAAATTTTTTGAGAGAAACTAAATCGCGTAGGCGGCTAAGATTTAGTCTGAGGCATAGATTAAGGCCTCTTCTACAGTCACATAATTTTTTTTAGGTACTTTATCGAAAAAATAAAATTGTTGATTGAGTTTCGCCAAATGTCATCCAATTTGTAAAAAAACGATCTTTTCCGAACCCAAAGTATGCCATGATGAAACAAAAGATGTTCAATTCTCACAATTAACAGTAAAGTGTCGGCAGTGTATGATTGTTTTTTAATCAACTCGGCAAAAATGTTCCAAACTCAATCAGGAATGGTTGATACAGTGTTTATTCTTAGAGACCGTTACCAGAATTGTTTACTGGCGTCGCGAGTGTACGCTGGGAGATATCCTGGCAGAACACATTCAGATCCACGCGTGTTTCAAAAGGTGTTGGATAGATTTACAGCTACTGAGAGTGTAAAACAAGCAAGGAGAGTTAAACGGACGTCGGTTTTGGCGGAAGATAATGAATTGCAAGTTCTCAGGCAGCTGCGTTGATAATCGCCATATTAGTGTGCGTGAAATTAGTACCTACTCCCGGTAGTTGTAAATTTTAAACACCTTTTAAAACGTGTGGGTCTGGATGAGTTCTGCCAGGATATCTCCCAGCGTATTTTTGTGACGCCAACAAACAATTCCGGTAACGGTCTCTAAGAATAAACAGCATATCAACCAGTACTGCTTGAGTTTGGAACATTGGGAAATATTTGCCGCCGTACTGGCAAAGTAGGTATAGGAATGTTTCTGGGTACTGACGTCACGCGGGGTAGTCTCGCGCACAGGTACGTTTACTTGCTTCGCGCCGACCCTTCATTTTGAAGTGCTTACAGCGGACGTAAATGTCAATATTTTGCACCCAATTTTTTTCTGATCGTTAACAAAATCTCTCGATTTCAGTTACAATAAAAAAAATGTCGAACCTGCCCATTACAGAGTAGCCCGCATAATGCTTTTTAGAGGTGCCTCTGCAGAAAATCTTAAGTTGTTTTATTTTTTCGCCGGGTGGAGTGACGTCACTTGCTGACCCAGACGCACCACATCACATGCTTTGATTAGTGTTCTATCACCACTTTAAATTGCATTTCATTTCATTTGTTAATTTTAAGAAATCCTTCTCACGGAGCGTTTTTGAAGTGCCACAGAGTTAGGGTGACCATAATTTTTCAACAAAAATAAAGTACATTTGTAATTTTTAAGGGAGTACACAGGGAAATGTTTCTGGTCACAATTTTACGAACCTTTAATCAAACAGGTTGTCTGTATACCTATGTATATATAAATTTTAAAAGTTAATTTTCCTCCGACGTTCTTGCCTGAACATTTTGATCATCATTTTGGTACCAGTCGTACTTTTTGGAACTATGAATTTCCTTCAGAAGTTGTGGTTTAGTCTTTAAGAACTGACACATTTCATCGATCGGTTGCTGCACAATGGATCAAAACCCAAATAAACAAGACGCCAAATCATTTATGACCAAAGACATACAAGAAGTCATAATTATATTTCGTTTGGACAAAAAGTTTGACTTAATTTTGTGTAATTAAGAAAAATAGTACATTTAGGTGTACTTGATAAATCGTAAAGAACAATAGGACTGCGTTTGAAAAGAAAGTACTGTCCTACTAAAAAAAGTACATATGATCACCCTATACAGAGTAGAAATTTTCTTAGAAAAAAAGATACGGTTATGCGGAAATCGATTCCCCCTGACGAGAAATTGGCGTTGTTTCTCAGATGAGTAAGAACTGACGTTTGTTACAAGACTCTTCTGTACATTTTTAGGCCAAATTTCAAAACATCGAGAGCTTAGATTACGAGATTTTTAAACCCAGATGCAATTTCTGATATAATTTTGAAGTTTGCAAATACTGTGCTTTTTTAAAAGAATGACGCCCTCTCTTGGTACATGCGCTTTCGTTGCGTGAATAGTCCAGTCAAAATAGGATTTGAACTTGCAAAAGGTCAAGGAGTTTTAAAACTTGGTAGATTGCTATATTTTGGTGTTCTGAATAATACTCTGAGTTTGCGACCTTGAGCGACCGCCGCTCGCGCCACCATATTGGAATAAAGGTACGAAAATTCAGTTTTGCGATAATTTCTCCGTTCCAGTGCCATCTACGTTAAAAGTAGCTAGTACAAAAGTTATAGATCAGAAAATTTGCTATACCTTTCCTATCTAAAGTTTTTTTAATCGGATGAATATTTTATGAACCACAGCCGAGTAAAAGTCGGGAAACACGAAACAAATGAATATCTGATATTGTTTATAAGTTTACTAATATTCCTATTTTTTTAGGTTTTGATGATTCTCAAAATAAGAAGACACCAAGCACAGGTTGTGGTAGTAGTACTAAGCATTTATTAGAATTTTAGTACTCGTTTATTTTTGTTTATGCATCTAAGGTGTTTGTATATTAATATATTTATAATTTTTTAATAATGAAAATAAAAGTTATACCTAATTTACAAGCTGATGTGGTAAAGTTTGTTGTGATCACTGATCAGGAATGTTGAATGTTCGTGATAGAATTCTGTCATCTCAGGCAAGAAAGTTCCAAGCAATTACTTCAGATACAGGATGAGAAAATTATTTTGGATTGTGTCACACTGTCTAGTGGCAGAGTTGCTTGAAGCTTGAATATGCTGCATGTATCTGGTCTCCTCAAATACTCAGACACTGAGACACGATCGAAAAAGTTAATCTGAGTAGTGTTTTTTAAGGTCAATACACAATTATTCATATTTGATCTCTACTCTTACGGTACCCAGCTTAATTACTTAAATAGTACTTTCGGCTTAAACATAATGGTGCTAGAAAGCCGATGGTTCATTAGCATCCACAATTTTTGTGTTCAAAATTTTATATAACTTTTTTTAACTCTTCCGAATTACTTCAACAAATTAAGCGGAAGGTAGGTACCATTAGCTTTGCCATTAGTTAAGGTAAGGAAAAATACTATTTTTAAGGCATTTTTTAAGAATTAAAAAAAATGTGCTATTGTTAGCGTTTTGTCCGTCCGGACCCACTGCTGCTGTTTCGAACTACTTCCAGGGGAGTGGAATTTTTTGCAGTTGATAACCTATATCTTGAAGGTGTGCCAGAAGGCCATCAAATTTCGCTGTCTAAAAGGGCCCCCTCCCCACGAATTATTTCCTGAGATGCTGCTTTTGAAAGTAAACCGTGCATAACTTTTACATACGACAACCAATTGGTTTCAGATTTTGCATACACCGGGGGGGGGGGGGGGTTTAAAAA